ATGAAATTAAACCTTTTATATATCATTATATTCAACATATATTGCTTTGTCAAATTACTATTTGCTTTGATTAATCTAACACTTCTTTGAGTGTAAAAAATCAAAATTTGTGAAGGGGTCCAAAATGGTAATCGAAGGGGTTTTCGATTTAAAATCATAAGAAGTGGTTTACTGAAGATATTCAAAATTATCATAACAAATGAAGAGATATTATAGAATCAAATGACATATAAATAATTAATTAAACTTCAATAACTTTTTAAAAAAAATTAATTTAAAAATGTAGTTATGAATGCGTCTCTTATAATTGCGATCCCTAGTATATAAAGAATTTATAAATTTTTATTTAAAAAATAAGTCATTAATATTTTAACAACAAATTCCACCCAAACTGTCATCACTTTTTAATGCTTTAATTTTAATCAAACCAATCATTTAATCAAACTTCAAACATGTATAACTTATTATTTATAGTTATCAATTAATGCTAAGATACCTGTAAATTATGAATACAATTGAATATTTTATAATATATTATTGGAGTTTTTATGATTAATAAATTACCATATATAATATTATATTTATAATTTAAAAACTTAAAAAGAAAATTTAAATAAATGACAATTTTAGTATATTTTTATTATAATTTTAGATTATGCAAAGGTTCAAAGTTTTTTATTCTAAAAATATTTATATTATTAAAATTTTTTCTAAATATTTAAAATTTAAAATTTATGTATTTATTTGTTACAATGTATGATATAATATATCCGTTATTTGAATAATTTTTTATTAAATCTATAAAATACTTAATGCATTAAAGTGGTTGAAAACTATATATGATAGAAAATAATATCATTTTGAGACAAATTTCCTAATAAATTATATATATATTAATCATATATCAATGGCTTATCAAATGCTTCTATTATTTTCTTAATATTTCATTTATATTTATACTTTAAACGTTAATAAATGCTATACTTAAGTAAAAATCAATTTAAAGTTAATGTAGAAGTTATTTATATTCAATATAAAGAATACTTTTGAAAAAGCTTATTCAATCATTTTTATTCAATATAACATATAAATAAATAAATATATATATATATATTTAAATCAGTTTTATTGAATTATATAATCAATATATATATATATATATATATATATAAACTAGTAAATTTTAGCATAATTAACATTTTATATATTATTTATATACTATAGTATATAAAATAGGAAATAAAATTATTGATGATATGATTGCAAATCGTAGCACTCGTTAGTTGTAATGACTTGAAACCAACGAAAGAATTAGTGAAATCATCGGACGTAAAGTCGGTTCAAACGAGCAAACATAGCAACCATTCAGGCATTCAGTTAATTAGTTTGAATTGGGATCACAATCAAAATAAATGGCTATTTTGCTTATTACTATTGATTGCAGCCATCGCTAAGATTGGCTATCATTTTAGCAATTTTTTAAACAATATTATCCCGGAATCCTGGTTTGACTTTTTTCTCACTATTAATTAATTTACTAATCTTTTAACACTTTATTTAAGTGCCACAAAAAAATAATAATAAAAATGAAAGTAATTTCTAATTTTTTTATTTCGTTGCAATTGATAGCATACTTATTCTGTTAGGACTTATTGTGGGCTCTATTATACAGTGAGTACCAGCTATAGCCAAATGACTGATTAACTATTATACCAACTGTCCACTAATAATATTGTATTTTTATATCAATTTTTTTAGTTCACTCAATGTGTCTGAAGAAGTGCCACATTTTACGGTTGAACTCTTCTTCTTTGTTTTGCTTCCGCCGTAAGTATTGTCGTTATTACGATATTAACATTTGATATCTCCATTAGACATAACTTAATATAAACTACTAATATTAAAAATACAGCTATTAATACATATATTGTAAATCTTTAGGATTATACTTGAATCGGCTTACTCTTTGCATGACATCCAGTTCCTCACAAATTTAGGCTCAATATTGGTTTTTGCTATTATTGTAATTATTATTGAAGAATATTATTATTTTAATTATATAAATTTCTAGACATTTTTAAATTTTGATAACTAAAATAAATTATGTGTAAATTTTAGGGCACATTTATAAACATAGCACTGATTGGGCCGTCATTATATATAATTGAATTGATGGGATTTAAATGGATGAAATATCCATCCATGTCATTTCTGGAAATTATGATTTTCGGTACAGCTATTAGTGCTGTCGATCCCGTTTCGGTATTACATTTAAACAATAGTTTATTAATATTAAGTTTGAAATTTAAAATTTAATAGGTTTTAGCAATTTTTCAAGATTTATCTGTTAATAAATCGCTATATTTTCTCGTATTTGGTGAATCATTGCTTAATGGTAAATGAATTTTTGAAATATAGACTGAATAATAAAATAATAAATTTTATTAATTATTAGACGCCGTCGTTATCGTTGTCCATCGGATACTGATTTCAATGTTAGGTGAGAGTCATGTGGAAGTCATGGAGTTCTTCAAAGGCTTTGTTGCCTTATTTCTGGTCAGTTGTGGCGGACTCTTCATTGGCATCTTCTTCGGTGTCCTCACATCACTGCTTACCTTAAAAACAACTCACGTCAGAGGTTTGCAAAGTATTATTATTATTATAATTAGTTTTGGTAATAATTTTCTTGAATTAAAATATTTAATAGGTTTAGAAACAAATATATAAATACATTATTGTAATTAATTATATGCATTAAAAAATAATATAATTCATTAAAGTTTTGACTGTAATAATACAGTAGGTTATCATTACATTAATAAAATGAAATATCAAACTAATTATTTAAATTAGTTATTAAAATTTTTATATTTATATACTAATAAATACATTAATAAGTTATAGAAATTAAACATATATTTTAAAATATTTAATCTTGAACACATTTAAGCAAATTAAGTTTATTGATTATTATAACGAATAATACCAGTAATCTACGGTTTATTTTGTCAGAAACTCATTATATATGATAAAAATAAATAATATTGAAATACTGTATAATGCAATTATTGTGTCGCCATAATTATAATTTAATCTTATATAAGACTTTATCGTATAAAATATAAATTTAAGAAGTTTTCATAAATTGTAATTTTTATTTTTTTAAATACATATCTAATAATTAGTGAGCACTAAATATATGTCACTTATTTTACTTAAGCTCAATGTGATGTCAAAAATATGCTATAAATTAATTTATATATTGGATAACAATTTATGTTTACAAAGCATTAATGTCATGAAATACAATGTCATTAATAAACGCTAAAATTAAATAAATTCTGTCTATTTTTTTAAGTGATTGAACCCATGATTGTGGTAACGATGGCATACATGGGGTATCTGTGCGCAGAAATTCTTCATTTTTCGGGTTTAATTAGTCTAATTGGATGCGGACTCGTAGGCATATTACTATAATTATCATATACTATACAAATATGTTTTTCGCCTTAATTTGCTAATAAAATTATATATATTATATATATTTACACAATATTTAGGTTCAATCGGAGTACACATTCCGTAATATATCAAAAAAATCGAGAATAACAGTCAAATATTTTGCTAAAACTTTGAGGTATTATTAATTCACAACTACACAAATAAACCAAATAATTTCTCAATAAAACACTTTTGGCGCAAAGATTTTGACTTTTTTAGTTTTTCATTATATTTTATTTTTGGTTTCCATTGAATTAGATTCCGAAAAATTTCTTTTTTTTCAAAACAAACTATTTTGTGTCAAAGATCTTCTAAATATATTATTACTAATTTTTTTAATGTTTTCATTATAGTGTATAATAGAAACCAATATTTTTGTTATACTTTTGGTTGGCAATTGAATTGTTAAATAATGAAAGTGCATATATAATGATTAATAATAAGCAACTTTTGCTGTCCATTAGCTAATGTTTGCCAGTATTTCAATGTCTTTCATTATTTTGTTTTTCATTGTCTAACAAAAGTTTACTGCTATTAATCAGTAGACAAATGAGATGTTTACTTATAGTTAACATCTTGTGTGTCATACCATAACAATATTATATAAATAATAATAACAATTTTATAATTATTCAATTTATTAACAAAGATTATTTTATTTTAAATATTTCAAATATGCATACAGTAGTATAAATTTGATTAATATTTAATAAGATAATTAAAAATATTTTAAATATTAAAGTAAACTATAAACTATTGTAAAGTAGCTATTTTTATAATTTATATAACAATAATTTTTATGATTTATTTATATAAATATTTTTGAGACAATAGTAATGTTAATTTTAAATACTATAACTATAAGTTAAATAAATAAAAGATAACAAACAATTTTAAAGCATTAATATATGAATTTAATTATATGTTTGTTTGAATTTCAGTACAATCTCTGATTTATTAATCTTTTATTTTTTGGGAGCCGTACTAATCAATGGACAACTCGTTTGGAACACAGCTTTCGCATTGTTTTCACTTATATTTTGTTTGATCTATCGTTTCGTTAGTAAGTACTCTAATAATTAATTATTTTTATTTTGTTTTTTTTACTAAGTCTAACAAATATTTTTTGGAAATTTCTACATTAAAAATTAAAAAATGATAAGAATATTAAAACAAAAAAATAAAGTATTTATATAATTAGTTACAATATTAGATTTAATGATTAATTTTTAAATAAAATTATATTAAATAATATTTATATCATGATAAGTATTATTTATTTTTTATATAAGTATAACAATAAGTTTATTAGATTTTATAAAAATATTATATACAATTATTTATAATATCAAAAACTATCTTAAAAGCTCTAAAAATTTAAACCAATAAATTTTGACAATAATATATATATATATATATATATATATATATATATATGTGATTTATTTAATAATATTTTAGGTGTATTTTTGTTAACATTTATTCTGAATACACTGTTTCAACGTATGCCTGCCATCAAACTTGAAGAGCAAATATTAATGGTATTTATATAACATTTATATCATTGAGTGTCTGATTCAAAGCAATTTCTTGTTGAGATATAACTCATAATATCAAACAATTATATTTAGTATGACTTTTTTGACAATATTACACAACTTAAACAATATTGATCTATAATACTATATATCAATTTAATTCAAATGTAAATGCAGTTATAATAGGAATGTAATGTAATAGTATATGTAATAATAATTTAACCGATATATCATTTGTGTTAATAACTAGTTTGAGAGAACATTAATACAGTATATATATATATATATATATAGTATATAGTATTTTATTGATTTAATGATTGTACTGTAGGCTAACATATTATATATATACATATGGGATACTCATCCGTCACAATAAATATCAATTAATACAAAAATGTTAGATATTAATAGTAAATGAATTTATTTGCTATATTAGGCTTATGGAGGTCTAAGAGGAGCGGTAGCATTTGCACTGATTGCTGTACTCTATGAAGAGGACACAATTGAAAATTTTGGTTTATTGAGGACAACCACTTTGTTTATTATTTTGTTTACAGTGTTTATATTGGTAATTACATTTCTACATATTCAACACATTTCATACACAAACAAACAAATAATACAAACTTTAATTAAACAATTTAATTAATTTGACAAAAACGAAAAAAACTTTTAATATTCAGTTTGTCTAATAGTATATAAGTTTTATGTCATTTTTAATTATTTTTCTATTTTCTAATGTCTTTATTTATTTTGTGGACTTACAGTATATATATATATATATGGTATATATCAAAAATAATTATAATTGAAAAAAGTAGACAATCTTTCAATAAAATATATAAATCTTTTGTTTAATTTTGTTTTTAAGAAGATTTAAATTGATAATATATTTTACATAATTAAGTTTTTTTAAATATCATTATAATAAACAATATTAATTTATAAAATCGATTTTTTTAAAAACAAAATTAATTTTATTTTTAGATTAGTTTTATTTTTTATAACGACAATTAATTTTAGTCTATCACTGAAGGGCTCCACAACTAAACCGTTATTAAATTATCTGAGAATAAGACGAGAAGTTAAAGAAGAGGCAAAATTGTTTCATTTGGTTAATACAAAAGTATTAAATTATTTTAATTATTTTTAAATTAGTTTTTTCTATTATTACAATATAATCATTTGAATTAGATATTGATTCAAATTATTACTTTATCATTAAATTAATTTAAAATTTACTTTAAAATGTTATATCAATGAAGGAACCAATTGTGTGAATAATTATCATATATTTATTAAAAAAAAGTCTAATTATAAATTTATTTAATAATAATAATTTCAAATAACTAATTGAACTAATTTCATGAATATATTAATTTTAATTATATATTGAATTTCTAGTTTATGGAAAATTTAATTTTTGGATTTTCTGACATAACAGGTATTTACTTATTTTAAAAATTAAATAAAACTAATTATACATATTATTTTTAATTTAAATAGGTGTCCATACATTTAATTATTTTTGGACAGTAAGTTAATTTTTGACTATATTTTATTTCAAACAAAAATATTTTTTCAATAAAATTATTAATATTTTAGAAAAAGCTCATTGATCTGAATGAAAAGTATTTTAAGAAATATCTAACTCATGGCAATAATGAGAAAAATATTGAACAGTTGTTACAGAAATTAATATTAAAGTGAGTTAATTATTAATTTAAAATTAAAATACAGTACAATATATTTAATTACGATATATCATATTATAATAGTAATATTAATGTATTTTATAAAAAAACTATATTACATTAAATATGATTAATATAATTAGTGTTAAAACGACAAAAAAAACATTCAATGAATATTATTGTTGTAGAACTAATATTTTAAATATAATATTTAATGTAAATTAATATAGTTTTATATAAAATACATTACTATTAAAATATTTATACATTTATACATGTATTATATGATATCATACAGTAATTTATATTTGTCTAAACAATATTAATGCATTTACTCCATCTTTTATTTTTCTAGTTTTTTTATTTTATCGATTTATGTTAAATAAATTATGTTATTTTTATTAAAATTTGATTTATAAAATAACAATATTTTTACATATTATTGTTATTATTAATAGAGAAGAAATGAACAAATTATTCAATGACTGTAGTGTTAAAAGTGATGAACAAAATGAAATAAATGAAATCACCAATGATGATGAATATAAGTAAATTTTCAAATAAATTTTACTTGAAATTTGTGTCATAATAGTTAACAATTGTTTTTTTTATTAATTTGAAATTTTAGTAATAATTCAAACAAATCTTCGGCGACTTATAGTAAAAATAGCAAAAATGATTCAAAACTTGATATCGACTCAACTGATGACAGCAGTGATGAGGAACAGACTGTTTGCCAAAGAATGCACAACAAGTTATGCAATCAATTATCACAATTGAAAATATTATCGATGTTTGGCATCAAAATCAAGAGTAAGACTGAAGACGAAAAACAGGCGAACAAAACAAGAAAAATGAGTCATTTGTTGGAAAATGCTTTCAAAGAAAATGACAGAAATCAAGTGAGATATAAATGACAATATAAAACAAATAACATTTTAGATATAATTTATATCTATTATATACAATATTATGATCCAATTGATATCAAATTACATAAAAACTTATATTAAATAATTTTATATTTGCAGACAATTCTGCGAAATAGTGTAACGAAAGGCCAAATTGCGAACAGAAATTTGATTAAACAGAAGAATACTCTTCAGCAACAATTACAAAGACGTTCATCAAATGTGTCGATCACTGATCCCTCTAATAGTACTTCAATTTCTCAAAACATTGCAAAAGTCAAGAATCCGCTGAAAATTAGCTCTCAATTACTAAACGCCACAAAAGTTAATACAAATGATGAACTTGTCAGACGACTATCCCTTATATCCAATATATCTAATATTGAAGTTACTAACCATACAAATAATATACACAAAACATAAAAATATTTAAATAAATAAGTTTATTGTTTTCATTAGAAATTTATAACTTAAAACTGAATAATTATGCAACGAAAATCAATTTTGTTATAAAACTCAATAAAATATATAAAACTCATAAACGATAGATAAAATGTAAAAAATAATAGATTAAATTGTTTTGAAAATTTCATTTAGCACTCGGATGTGTCTCCTTTAAGACCGAAATACGAGATTTCTTTTGGTTGACTTTTGGACAAACTTTTGGCCTTTTCATCTGAACAGACGCCACACTTACACTCAAAAAAGTAGTTATTCTTCAGAAATTCTTGTCGTTCATCAAAACTCATGTCCGTATAGTTAGGTCCGTAACAAACAGTAATGTCTTCGTTAGCATTAATGTCTCGTTGTGTGGCAACAGTGATATAGCGACCATTGAATTGCCAGAAAGCATTGGCATCGCAACTGTGATTGAAGAATGAGGTCATAAAGCAAATACCATTTCCGATGTGATTTCCTCTGAAGATCTGTTTGTCATTCATTTTTTCATACATTCCGAAAGCATTGACACATATTTTATAGTTAAGGATATCCAGAGTCGATGCCAATTGTTTTAGATATTCAACTGTACTTTCGTTGGAAGTTTTGAATTCATCAAAATTATTAAAGACGAGTGCCATCTGAATGGCGCGTTGTATTGATTTGGCTTTGATTTTAAGGCTATATTGGTGTCTATGATCTGATAATTGTAAGAATTTAAGAAAATCGATGGCTGATGAATCGTTTGCGCTGAAGATATTGAATTGTTTGGATTTGTTGCCAACTAATTCAATGGCAAGTTGTGGACCAACCAACAGAATAATACGGAACAGTATGTGATAGTTTGTTCCGATGGCACTGAGCACATCCATAATACGACACTCGTATTTATGAAACTTTGCTTCTTTGGCACACTTTTCATTGCAAAAGACCACTTGTGAACATTGAGGACACGACCAGTGCTTATAACCAATATTTTTACAGCAATTCTGACAATGGGTTTCCCAATGAGTGTTAAATAAAACACAAGACATTGCCTTTTCTAACATAACTATTGACTGTTTCTGTAGATTAGCCGTAGTTTTAAAGCGACGGCCGCTTTCTGGTGTTTCATACAATTCAAGCTTATGGCACATATAATGATCAATATTTTGGCAGTAATCCCATACCACTTCATATTCAGTTTGAAATTCTTCATCTTCTTCTAAGTCTTCATTGACTCGATCTCTAATTAAATTGCTTTGTTTAATAAGATATGCGACCAAATGATTATAAATAGGAAGAGATGGCATCAATTGAATCATTGATGTTATGGTTTGAAAAGCGTCGCCATATCTCTTCATTTTGCACAAGCATTTGACTCTATGTCTTATAAATAGTAGTCGAGTGAGGAATGGCATCGTATGGACAGATAGATGAAGAGCACAGTCAATGTCATGCAATGCATTGTCATGTAAACCCATTTTTAAGAAAACCAAAGATCGACCGGAATAAGCATAAGACAGTTCATTAGCTGATTGTAAATCACTAGCAGTTTTGGATGGATGGGGAGCACAAAGTACTGACTATTAATAAAATTCAATATATTATATAAATATATTTAATGATTATTAATGGTTAGTGTTTTAATACTTTACTATAATAATGAAGAGCAAACTCGTAGTTCTTGTGATCAAAGAATTTATTTCCTTGTCTTCTATATTCTTGAGATTTAGTCACAGATTTTTGGTTTTTATTCTTACATTTTGTCAATAATTTGTTCACTTTTTTGATCGATGTTTTGATTGACAGTACTTTACTAAACACATAATCTACTCGTTGTTTACTATTTTCAAGTAATTCAAACTCAGGAGTACTAACGAAATCACAATCCATGTCTATTAAATGATCCATTGCTAACAAAAAAAATATTTTATAATAATATTCTAGTATTTCATACCAGAAAATTGAAATTCACGCGATTTTATTATAAACAAAAATAAAATATTTTCATTTATTCACGAGAAGCTCTGAATATAAAATTGTCAAATATTACTATAATTTTTTGTAAAATAGATTTATTGCTTAAATTCAATCTTTTTTAATATGTCTACAAATTTGAAAAAAATTTCAAAGAGTGTCGATTCAGACAAAATGATTGAATATTCAGACAACGATGACGAGGAAGTGTCAGAAAATAAAACTTATGAAACTACTATTGTCACCGAAGAACCCGTTCAACTTTATGAACACCGTTTGACTGAATGGCAAAACGAAACTATTATTTCCGATGTCCGCAAACTATTGGCCAAATCGTGTAGAGTGTCAATGAAACAGAAAATTGTGACCACAGTTAAGGTGACAGTTGATGAACAGTCACATGACGTACCAATTCAGGTGAACAAACAGATTGACAAAAAAGATGTCAAAAGTGATATTATTTCAATACCCATTCAATTTCAACAATTGGATGTTCCAGTCATTGAAACCATTGAGTTCGTTGATATACCGTTGCGGACAACTGTAAGAACAACTCGACCTAAAAGTCTTTTTTAAAAATAATTTTTATTTTATTAGTTATTTATTTATAGAAAATATTTTTCATTTATATATGTATATCATTTATATATATATATATATATATATATATATATATATATAGGCATATTTTTAACAATTAAATAATACTATGATATTTTCTACAAAAAATAGTCACTAATAAATTTATTATGCGAAAGCAAATAATATTTAATTTAATATAAATAATAAATATATAAATATAAGCGCCACTAATTTGTTCTCAAATTAACGTTGATAATAAATTATTTTTTTAAATAATTAATTATTAAAAAATTATTACATAACCTATTTTATCTAACAGTAACCTAGTTTTAAGATGTTTTTGTTATTTTAAATGTTAGTCATTAAAAATAAAATTAATTATAATGGTTAGGAAAATATGCTGTTTTAGTCTGACTTAAAGTTTATTAGAGATATTTTTGAAAACAACTAAAATAAATATATCAAAATCATTAATCATATAAATATTGAGAATATTATTATTATATTATATATAGTATTGAAATTCAAGTTATTTAATATGTTATCTAAAATAAGTTTTTATTGAAACTATTGAATGGTTTGAATGGTTTGAATGGTTTGAATGGTTTGAATGTTGTGTAATATGTCTATCAAAGTATGACATACTATATGTGAGACTCTTTTATGGCATTTGTTTGTAATGTAAAGCAAACACTGGTTTGGCATTTGATTTATGTCTTGTGTTAAGCCATCACTTCATTGTCACCATTACTACCACTACTAGTGTTTTCAGACAAAGCAAACAACGACGTCATGAGTGGTCCGTCGCGTTCAACACCAGTCACGGCTACAGTTGTGACCAATTCATCGAGTGGTCAAAGAGTGGATAAACAGTTTGCCATTGATGTCAACAAAGACGATGCAAAGAGTGGTGACTCACATCTTAACTCATTAATGAATTGTGTCAACAGATTGGAGACATCACTCAACCAATACTTAACCAAAATTATTGACGACGAGAACGACCCGAATCCGGAAGCAGTGAGCGCTGCCATCGCTGGTGAAGCCATACAATCTGCTGTAGCCAGAGGTGACACATATGGATATCAAATGCCAAACAATGATATGAGACAACAACAACAACAACAACAACAACAGTGTGCCAACAGGTCTGCCAACAGTGACTACTATCAGTACGACACCGGTTATCGACCAACTGATGGCCCGAAACACAAACGATCCAAAAATAAGTAGTCATTTGATTGACAATTCTTTGTAAATAAGCTTTGAATCAAATTTGGCGCTCAAAGGGATCACCGATTTATTCAAGGATTTCCTAACTCAAGAGTGTCTCATATGATCACTGATAACACATTTCAACACTTGATTGTCATATAATAAACACTTTATAGCAGACAATCATTCAGTGACTGCACTCTCTTTTGCTAACATTTCTCGCTTTTATTTTTTACAATTAATTGTATTTCAATTGATTTTATTTTTATAATTATAATTAACATATTATTATTGTATAATATATTGTAAGTCATTAATAATAACAACAAAGTAATTGTGGTTTTAATCGATTGTTTCAAATCAATCACAAGACTTGTTGAGCACAAGACGTCAACCGTAATGTCTAACAATAGCTGTGATTGTGATAATCGATTGAAACGAATCAAAGACACGATTAAGTCTTATACAGACTTTCCTAAAAAAGGCATTTTGTTTCGGTATTTATTTAATTATTTCAAACATTTTTTACACATTTATTTGACTCTAGATTTTATTAATTACTAAATAATTCAATAATTTGTGTTCAATTCATTAATTGGTTTAAAATATTGTGTTTTTCTTTAAATTGTAAACATAATATACAGTATGATAAGCCAACTGTCCATTACTTTTATTATTATTTATATATACCGTCACCTAATGTTAAAAGCAATTATTAAATATCAAATGATTAATTTAAATTAAGTTTTTATAGCTTATATCTTATTAAACATTTAATTGACATAAACCGGTGTTTATTTATGACTATCAAATAGAGTGTAATTTAATTGTAAACTCTTAAAAGTAATCAAGTTTTGTATGTATTTACATAAATATAAAATTATATTTATCTTAAAAAATGGTTTATTATATTTACATAATTTCCAAAATTAACAAATTATTAAAATTTTGTTTTATAAATCAATGCATTTATAAATCATAATAAACTTGAAAAATAAATTAAATTTATATTTTGATTGTTTTATAGCGACTTTTTCCCAGTTCTCAGAAATCCCGATGTCTTTAAAGATTTGATTGATTTGATGGCAGAGAAGATCAAAAACATTGAACCAAAAGTCGAAGCAATTGTTGGTCTGGAATCACGTGGTTTTCTTTTGGGAGCACCGCTGGCATTGCTCCTTAAAATACCGTTTATTCCGGTCCGCAAACCGGGCAAATTGGCCGGTCTGGTCAACAAGAGTTCATATACACTTGAATATGGAAGTGATTCACTTGAAATCCAGACTGAGTCCATCACCAATGGTCTCAAGTGTGTGGTTGTCGATGACTTGATAGCAACGGGTGGCTCATTGAAGGCTAGCATTGATTTAGTCAAATCATGCGGCGGTCACGTTGTCTTAGGACTGGTAGTCATCGAATTGGTAGCACTTAATGGCCGATCAAACATTCCGTCCGCTTTTGATTCACTCATTCAATATTAATAATCCATTAATTAGTGGATAAAAAAGTGTTACTATTTTTCTAACGTATATTTTTATACATTTTGAAAGCAATAAAATAACAAATAAGCAGAAATACAGAAATGTTTAAATAATAGACAGATTTTGTATAATTTTTATTAAAAATTATATAATCATATCATTCATATACCATATTATAAATTATTAATTCTCAAAATATGAAATAATTTATAAAATTATTTCTTAAAACACATTAAGTTATTATCACTTTAATATCAAAATTAATGACAATATGAGACAGATTTAAGGATTAGTAGTAATAAACGATTAATTTAAAGATAACAATCCTATCAATGGTTGACACGATGGCCACCTCTCAGGGCTAAAACGAGATGCAGTACCGAACCACCGGTCACTTTATAATCAGCGGCAGTCTTGTCATCGTTCCTGTCATAACCAGATATAACAACCAATTAATATAAAAACAAAATTAGTTGATATTATTGTTGCAGACATTTGTTTGCCTGAAAAGATGAGTCTTTGTTGTGCCGGAGGAATGCCTTCTTTTTCTTCAACCCTTTCCTTAATCCTCTCCACTTTATCGGTCGGTTCGATGTCGATCTCAATCTATGGACAATCATTCAAATTAGTTATCAAATCATACAAACAATCATTTCATTTAAAACACCTCTTTGCCGGTCAGAGTCTGTAATCAATAGAAATATACATTAAATCATTTGGTATTTTCGGATCAAATAAGACAACTAGTCTTACCTTAACTTTAATCAACATTTTCGGTCAATCAACGAGTTGTGTTATCCCGTAGTTAATGTCCAACCGTTTCGGCGATTGGTTTGAAATGCAATTCAAAACAATGCATCAAATATTGTATGAAATCTCTAATATTGTTGTAATAGTGTGTCGATTGCGGCAAACATTGACAGCGCATGACATCAACAGTACATCCATATTGTGTTTGACAGTAACGCCACAGTCGGGCACTGGTAGGCATTGAATGCCACTCCTATTCACGCATTTTGAAAAACTTTTGTGCATTACATAGACAGTGCACATACTATGCATACATTGAAAAGACTGGTAGTACACAACTGGCACTGTCGGTGCCCATACTTTTTTCATATGTATGTCCACTGTTTGAACCAAAAGTTATGATCAGTACGTTATGGCGACACCATAGGGACAGTATGTGGATATCATCTATCATATGGTATTGTCTACTCTTTACTATCCAATACTTGGATCAGTCGTCATGTCAGTCACCCAAATATATGGGACAAACCGGTAATGAAATAAATCGCGATCTCATACAACATGAACCGTAAGTTTTATTTTTATATTAATTTATTTTAAAATTATGACAAACAATAGTTTTTCTATTTTTTATATATTATATAAACTATTTTATTGTTTAATTTAATATTATTAAATAAAAAATACTAATTTTAATATTTTACAAACAATTATATAACTTAATAATAAATTGTAAGTAATAAACACATAAATTTATGTTTCAGCAAAAGTATGTAGCATTTGATGCCCTAAAGCTATTTATCCGGTGTTTAAAATTTTTATATTATTATTATATACTGATTGCTGACTTTAAGTCATGATTTTTTATGGTAAACACTTTTAGGGCAACGCTTAACACTATTTACAATAGCATTGCTATCATATGTTTTACATTAATTATAGGCAAAACAACAATACGTGCGCTAAAATAGATTGTATTAAAAGTTTTGAAACAATAAGTTTTTATAGCATATAAACAATAAGTATTTCAATATATCGGAAATTAAATCTCATGTAATAGAAAATAGATATAATGACCAATAATTTTAATTACAACAAATAACATTGCATATAATTATTTATAATCAATAATACTAATAATTGTTTGTAATTAAACTCAATTGACCTTGGTTACATTTTATTAAATCAACCATTGTAATTTAATCAATTGTAATTATATAATAATGTAGGAAACCTTATAAGGAGTTATTAATATTTGGTATAAACTTATTTCCAATTTGATACACAATTTCTGTATAACTGGCGATTCATTCACTATAGCATAATATTAACTATTGTTTTCACACATTTATAGAGTTCGGATAACTTTCCAAAAGAGGAAAGTTTCAAAATAAATTCCCTCCAATTTTTTTGTGGAATATATGGAAAATATTTTATTTCTCCTCCTTTAGCTTTAAAATACAAAGATATGATTTATAATATATAATAAAGGGTTGAAAACTTATTTTATTTAAGTATTAAGAAATAGTTATAAATTGAGTTAAACTATAGAAAAATATTATTTAATTTATAATTAATATATATTTGTTAAGTATTTTAATTAAATTACTGGATTAGGATTCAATAGATGATGTTTTACGAAAATAAATTGCCAGTGAATAAGGAAAATATGGAATTTTGTGGTAATAAAACTACAGAAGGAATTTACTCTAACTCTACATATTTTAAATACTATACATTTATCGCTTATTTTTTAGAGCCTCTTATGATTTTCAGATGTAATTACAATATTTGTTAAGACATGATAAAAGTAAAGTAATAATAACTATGAATAATAGTCACGAAATTTATACAGCAATATATGTATAGTATAGTAGATGATAGCAGAGCAGGTGCATCAAAAAAAGTATGGGATAGTTATGTGTTTTGTTTTGATGTTTGATATTCTCAACAAATGTTTCTTAAGGGAGTTATATATATATAAATCGATGGTCTGCTCAGGGATTGAAATCTCAAAAATTTGGCCAATGATTAGATCATACATGACAACTATCATTGCCTAAAATATAACACTATATTGTTTGCATTCACTCCCAATCTATGAGTGTAGAGTCAGCCTATTATATGCCACAAACTCATATCATTGAATGAATAAGTCTATCGCAACATTCATACTGTCATCCAATTTATATTTATATTATTAGATACAGTATTACTACTACCGTTGTTTGAATCATACAACTGATACCAACTAAATCAGTATACTTTAGCTTATAATCGCAGTCTCACTCACTCTCTCCCTTCCCCATCACTTACTCATACATTACTCACTCACTCATCCATTATTTCATATATATGTTATTATTTGACTTTTCATTTTATATCATAGCATCTAAAATAATTTTATTACTTTTTCCTGACTTATGGAGGTATGATTTAATAGACAAAATATATATTTTTGAATCGATATTAAGCATACAAAAAATGTAACGAATTTGATAGCAAAGTCTTTAAAAGAGTAGTTTATATTAAAAATGAAAATAAGAGTTTTATTTCAAAAATATTACTTTATTTTTAATGAACTTCACTTTTGATTACATAACCGTAAAATTGTTGGCTTTTTATTTAAAAGAAATAAATGCTTTTATATCATATCTCATGGGAACTACATTTGTTAGACAAACATTTATTTGACTGTTTTTATGTAATTTAAAGTCTAAATTAGCGACTCGTGTGTAATGTAATGTCTATAATATCTCAAGTTTTATCAAGTATTAAATCAATCAATTAGTTGACAAATTGTTACTAAACATGTATTAACATTGAAATTGCATTAACTATTTTATAGTGATGTCATAATTAATTAATGATGATATTTGTGACACACATTGTTCTTATATTAGCACATATTTTGTATTGGCATCAAAAACCTTACGTCCCGGTCAAGTATATCGGGTGTCAGTAACAGTCTATCGATCAAATTTACCCATAACTGTGAGGGCATCCATACAAAGGAATGGCGTTGAAGTTACGGCTTCGACACAGGAATGCAAAGAAAGAATTCCCGAAACATTATTACTTCGGGTACCACCGACCTCTAGATTAGGACAGTATAAACTTAGGGTTGAGGGCAATGTGAACGGTGTATTGGGTGGAACTGCCTTTTACAATGAAACTCATCTGGTTTTCTCTCAACGCTCAATGACTATATTTGTGACCACAGATAAGCCAATCTATATGCAGGGACAGACCGTCCGATTTAGGGCATTACCGATCACTACAGACTTAAAAGCATTTTCTGATGCAATTGACATTTATATGTTAGACCCGAGGGGTGCAATCATGAGGAGATGGCTTTCCAGACAAAGCAATTTAGGTATATATTTATTTGACACCTATTTTCCGCATTTTATTATATAATATAACATTGTTTTCTGTGTTTTTGTTGAAACATTTACCTTTTAAACTTCAGGCGCTGTCAGTCTCGAGTATCCATTGTCTCAGCAACCGGTTTATGGCCAAAATTGGACGATACGTGTTATAGCTCAGGGACAGGTCGAGGAAAAACAGTTTGCTGTCGAGGAATACTGTATGTCATTCAACTGTTTTTTAATACTTTCCTTTATATCTACTTTATCTTTATACTAATCATTTATTTATTATTGTTATAATAATATACTATTTATATATTAATTTTTTAACAATTTAAAATTTGTTGGGAAATAATTGAAAGAAATATATATATTATATATATATTGTAAATTTTCTTTTCTCTTCAATTGAAATATAATATATTACATATTGTTATTTATAAGTATATTATGTATACAAATTTGAATCATAAATCATTTAAAAGTAGTGGAAAAAATACAGAAAAATTTTGATACATAATAATTATTTAAGGAATTGAATATATATACTGTATATTCAAACTAATGATAAAAACAACGTATTTGTTATATTAACAGATCAGACAAGATTTGAAGTAAACGTATCAATGCCAGCATTTTTCCTACAAACAGACAGATATATCTACGGCTCAATTATGGCTAAGTATGTGTCCCTTTAATAGTTAGCAGATATTTATTTAAGCATCCCTTTCCTTAAATGATTTATCACAACTCTACTATTTTTACTAAAAATAGCTTTACGAGTGGTATCCCAGTGATTGGCAATCTAACTATATTATATACATTGATTTCCTCTAACAAACAAACCACTTCCCAGAGTTTCTTTGACAGACCAGCTATTGAGACAACTGAACGATATGTGAGTTTGCAATCAAAGCTTACAGATGTATGTAATGAACATTTTTTTATATACCTTTAAATATAGTTCAAAGGTTATTATGAATTTCGTCGTCCAATGAGTGAAATAATAGATCAATTAGGAGGCGGGTTATCACTGGACGGCGCAAAGATAACAGTGACAGCATTTGTTGGCGAGCGATTCCTTAACCTAATATACTCGGGTTACGCGCGGGCATACATATTCAGTTCAAAGGTTAAACTAAAAGTGTTGGGCTCAACACCACAAGTGTTCAAACCTCCGATGCCTTTCAAAGCATACGCTGCCGTCTCATTCAATGACGGCTCACCGCTTCCTTTCGATCGACTTATTTATGAGAAGCTTGAAGTTCGGACCAGAGTTCAGTTCTATAGATTTGGTTCTAAGAACTTGGAACCAAAGGAGGTTCCCATGTCTTTGACAAATCCGGGTCTTTGGGAGATCTCAATCAACTTAAAAGATGAACTTAAGGAAAAAAGACTTCTTGAAGACGTTAACTACTTATCTTTAGACGCTTTCTTCAGGGATGCCAACGGAGACACAATCCGTGCCCCAGAACTGAGAGCATACGCGACTTTCTCGCCGTCTGAAAGACTTATTCATATCTCGACGTCTACTAAACAGCCGAAAGTTGGCGAATACATCATATTTCACGTGCGAACCAATTATTACGTGAAATTATTCTCGTATGTGATTATATCAAAGGGAATGGTTTTGATTACTGGAAGAGAAGATATGAGTTCTACTATTAAGACATTTGCGGTCAGTTTATCACCTGAAATGGCGCCCACAGCTACTATTGTTATCTATGATATCGCACGTGGAGGTGAAGTAGTATCGGATTCATTAACCTTTCCTGTGGATGGCATATCTCGCAACAACTTTACGGTTACACTTAATAACCGCAAAGATAAGACAGGAGACACAATAGAAGTAGTAGTTTTAGGACAACCCGGCACTTATGTGGGTCTTTCAGCACTTGACAAAGATTTATCTCTATTACAAGTGGGTAATCAAATAAACTATGCAGAAGTCTTAAGAAAGATGAACACATTTGACCAATCAGTCACTGCCAGTAACGGCACGCTTACACACATCTGGCTTTCAAGAGAGGGAAGAGTCGATCGATTTCTTCACTTTCCTTCGCCTACGAATGGCATCGACGCCAACAAGACTTTTGAAGTAAGTGTTGATACAAATGATAATATAGTGAATGATATTTTCAATATATCTCTCATAACTCGTACTGCGATTATATGTGAATTTCTGAGAGAGGGTTACATATATTTTTATGGCTTGTTTTAAGGGATATTTATATTCAAATAAAATTTTAATAAATAATATTTTTTCTGATAATTAAATTACAGTATTTTTACTCAAACACATTTTACAATTTTACTTTTGTAAAATTTATATTATCATACTGTATTATTATTTAATATTAAATGTAATATATATTGTGTCTCAAAAGTTGTGAGATATTTTTTAACAAAATTATTATGAATGAGTTGACCAAAATAATATTTTTTTGCAACTGAATTTTTCTTACCGATATACAATGTAATGGTATATTAAGTTTTTATGTATTGTGGCACAGGTATGCAAGCTAACGGAGGTCTATTATCTAAAAAACTATTTAAAAAAGTACTTAAAATCATAATACCAAAATAAACTAGATAAATTACCTAGTTTCTTTGCAAAACTCATAAAAATTTGCTAAAAATTCTAAAAATTACTTTTTAGACCAGGTTTTATATTTTAATAATTATTTGCATATCTATTAAAATTGATATAAATGTATGATTGGGAATATACGTATGCCTAAAAATATTTTTTAAAAAGCTAAAACTCAGATTATAAACATATACTGTATATTATGAAATTTAAATTTTATACAATAAAAAACTAAAAAAGTATTCTCTGAAAAATAACTCAAATATTTAATTTATGTGTTAGAGTTGAATAAATAGTTCAATTATTATTGTTTAAATTTTGTTTAAAAAAAACTCGTTTAAAAATATTAATATTTTAATATTTATTTTTTTAAAATAAGATTTGTGAACATCTTTTAACTCAATTGAAAGTTTAATTTTATAAAGTTCTGGAAATTTTCTTCTCATTTTATTTTACATAATAAAAATTTAAAAAATAAATTTCATTAAATGCATAAAAATAATTTTAGATTAATTAAGATATTAATAAAATAGTATAATTAAGTAAACTTATATTAATATATCTAGAGTTATAGTGCTTTAACAGACATTTTATTGTCTCTAATTTCATATATATATTTCGGTATAAATATATTGTATATTTTACTGTAATATTAAATCTAAAAATTTCGATTAAGCATTACATGAAAATCAAAAAATCAATTTTATTTATTATAAAAGTTAGATAACAAACAAATTGAATATATTGTGAGTATCATATGTTTCACTTAAAAATGAATACAAAGTGAATTTGCACTTTAAAATCAAATCTCTCTCTCTCTCTCTCTCACTCACTCACTCACTCACTCACTCTATACACACTCACTCACTCTCTATACACACTCACTCACTCTCAACTTTATCTCCCATTTACTTAAAACTATTGTTCTATAAATTATTTATATTAAGGAAAAATAAAAGAAACTCATATTTTATAATAATATACAGAGAGTTAGCTTTAAAATCGATTTTAGCATAAGTTTTCATTATTTGTTTAGATTACATAATGTGCTAAAATTTAAACAAAAAAATATGTAAATCTTTTTTTCGGATAAAGTAATTCATTTAAGAAAATTAAAATGTGTTAATTTTATTATAACATTTAAAGCGACCAAACATTTTATAAATTTTATAGATAAAAACAATTTTATTTATTATTTTGGTTTTTTAGGAATAATTTTCGTTATTGTTTAGTTTAAAAGTCAGCAAAAAATTTAATATAAGATTTACACGATTTCTATCTATAAGTCGGATCTCTTTTATTATATAAACATTCAGATCATATCATATAAAATATGGTTCACTTATTTATACAAATATAATCTATTGTCAAAATAATTATTATTTTGTAAACTATTGATGTATTCATAATATAATATATAAATAGTAAATATACTTATATATTATATATTGTACTGTATATACACATTATCACTAGATATCACATATGTTGTCTAAATTTATCCACTGATTTGAGAGGAGTTTATCATATGTTATATTTTGATGAAACCTTTTTAACTATAATTTGTTTTGACTGGTATTTCAAGTTATAATAATAAACAGCAAAAGTAATTGTTGTGTTATAATGTTTGATGTGATGTCTATATAGAGCGCTGGTCTGGTTATCTTCACCGACGCTAATGTTACAGAAAAGTATGATAATTGCAACCGAACTCTTGGATTGTTGTCGTGTTTGGATGGGAACTGTTATCACTCAGACAAGGCCTGTGATGGAAAGTATGACTGCAGAGATGGTACTGACGAGGGCTCATGTAAGTTATATTTAAGTTTACATAATTTTTTGAAAAAACAATAGTAATACTACCGTAGGTAAGTGCAATTAGGCACAGGGATCCAATGTGAAACTATGAGCTAAAATGTGAATTTCTAGCCCATATCAAATGATTTGTTAATGAGTTGTCAAATTATTTCAACTATTTTTCAAGTTTTTTAAATTTCAGTAATTAACCCCCACTTAAAATATGCCATCTATTTTAGACCGGTCTCACATATTACCCATCTCCCAATCATTTGATACCCACGACTTGACATTTTATCCCAGTGGGTGGGGTGGGACAAAATGTGATATTTACTCCCAAAACGAATGTTGATTTTTAAATTTTTCATATTTTAAAGGGGGCTTATATGTGTGTTTATACGGTATTTATCAATATTTTAAATCTTAATTACGAATTTAATATTTCGAGTGTAAGAAAATATTTTAATTAAAATTTAAAAAATCATTATTTATAGATATTATGATAAAACTAATAATGAGTTTATTATTGTATAACTTATATTTAGGTCCTGAAAGAGATGACTATAATTTAGCTCAGTTTCGGATGACTCGTACCAATCGATTGCAGCGATTGTATGACAATTCTTGGCTTTGGAAAGACATAAATATTGGGTTAATATTAAAATTAATTCCTGTTTTTAAAAATGCAAATTAAAATCTAATTATTTGAATTTATGAATTAGACCGTTAGGTTATTATATATTTAAAGCATCAGTTCCTAACGCACCGGTCACTTGGATTGTCAATGCATTTGGTATGAGCTCTACTAATGGATTCGGTATTCAACAATCAAATATTGAGTATTCAAGTGTCCGACCATTTTATATGAGCGTTGAGATGCCGTCTGTTTGTTTGATTGGCGAACAAATAGGAATTCGTATAAGTATTTTCAATTACCTCCCGTACGAGATTGAGGTGATTGTTGTGTTGGCCCGATCTCCCGATTACAAGTTTGTCCATGTTGAACCATACGGTCGTGTCCAATCATACAATCCTCGTACATCCTATGGACAGCACCAACACTTAATTTTGGTATTATTTTTTAATTTAATTGGTTTTTAATCTATTAAAAGCATTAAAAACAATTATAATTTTAGATATATCCCGGACGCACATCAGTAGTTTATATGCCAATAGTTGCCCAACGAATTGGTGATATTAATGTTACAGTTATTGCTAAAACACAGGTAGCAAAGGATATTGTGACCAAAACATTGAGTGTAGAAGCGGACGGAGTTCCACAATATACACACACGTCTGTCGTTTTAGACTTATCTCAGGGCGCATACCTTATCAAGTATTTGGAAACTAATGTCACCGAAAATCCTATTATTCCGTATCGTCAGGAAAGGCGATATGTATTTGGATCAAACAAAGCCAGAATATCAATGGTCGGAGATATAGTGGGTCCGGCCTTTCCATTCATGCCTATGAATGCCACTTCAATGTTAAGAAAACCATATGATTGTGCCGAACAAAACATGTTTAACTTTGCCATTAATATGTATACACTTTTCTATCTGAGACTGACTGGTCAAAGAAGATCAGATCTTGAGAAAGAGGCTTTTAAGTACTTGAATATTCAATACCAGAGACAACTAAGCTATAAGAACAGTGACGGATCATTTAGGGCTTTTCGATGGAATAATAGGCCGAGTGTTTGGATGACTGCCTTTTGTGCCCGTATTTTACATAAGGCAACGTTTCAGGAATGGGAAAACTTCTTATACATTGATCCCAATATCATTCAGGACGCTATTGCTTGGCTTCTCAGGTTTCAAACACCCGAAGGAGCTTTTGTCGAGACATCACTTATACCACATAATCGGCGAATGAATCTTACCTCTAAAATATATGGTGACCACTCAAACCTGAGGAATATTTCACTAACAGCTCATGTGTTGATAACTTTGTCCGAAGTTCGTGATCTCAGAGGTGATGTCGGCGCCAGAGCTGCCACAGCACGTACTGCCGCTCAACGATATTTGGAGCGAATGCTTCATATTATCATCAATTATGACGATCCTTACGATTTAGCCATTACTTCATATGCTTTAAGTTTAGTTAATTCGGTGGAAACAGACGAAGCATTTAATTGGTTGGACCAGAAAATGCGTGAAGTCAGTGGTATGAGATACTGGGGTCGTGAAGCCATACCTCCACCTAAAACACAAATAGAAAATAACCGTCCATTCCTATTGCCACGACTTCCTCACAAATATGATTCATCTAATATTGAAACAACAGCTTACGGACTGTTAGTTCATATCGCCAAACAAGCAGTCATTCAAAAGGAAATCGTTGAATGGCTTAATAATCAGCGTTTATATGACAGCGGGTGGGCCTCAACTCAGGACACTGTGATTGCATATCAAGCGCTCATTGAATACGCTATTCAGTCGCGACTCAGGGAAGTGACTGATATAAAGATCACAATAGAAGCTCCGTCTTCGCGAAACTTTTCTAAAACTATTCGTATCGGAGAAGATAATCTCTCGCAGCTCCAGGAGTTTGATATTCCTAATCCTTTTGGTGCAGTTATTGTTAAGGCTCAGGGGTCTGGTTTAGCAATTGTCCAATTAGATGTCCAATACAATGTCGATTGGCCACATCTACAGATCCAACCACCCATTAAAGCTTTTGATTTGGATGTTACGGCAGTTTTTAGTGGACGTAATAGCTCTCACATAACTTTCCGTTCGTGTCAACGATGGGTTTTGACTCAAGAAAGCTCATCCAGTGGTTTGACTGTATTGGAAGTAACGATACCCACCGGATATATTATCCAACAACAAGAATTAGATCTTATAGTTAAGACAACACCATTACGTAATCTAGAAGAAGCCAGATTTTATGATAGGAAAGTTGTCTTCTATTTTGATTATGTAAGTCATATCACTATTGTTTTAATAATACAATTATTAATTGATTGATTCTTTTATAATAGTTGGATACAATGCCTACTTGTGTCTCATTTACAGTCCAGCGTTGGTATCCCGTGGCTAATCTTACCCGTTATATACCTGTTAGAGTTTATGATTATTACGCTCCCGGTATGTTTAAACCACTAATTTGTATAAATAATAATTTTCTAATTTTTATTTTTAAATTAATTTTCAGAGCGATTTAATGAAACAATGTTTAATACACAGAATCTCTATTATTTGAGTGTTTGTCACGTTTGTGGCTCATACCAGTGTCCCTACTGTCCAATATTTAGTGGATCACTGAATCTCTCATCTAATCTCATTGTTATTTTTATGATAGCATTAATTAATATAAACTATATTTATAGATATTGTTTAAGATTTGTTGATATTTGAGATGCAACTAAAAAACTATTTTAGAAATAGACTCCAAAGAAGGATTAATATAATTCATAAAATGATTTTTTAATGTAAATTATACACAATTTTTTTTTAAAATTTATAATTTGTTTTTAAATTACTTATATTTAATTTTATACATTGTTTTTCAACTTAAATCACGAATTATGACATTTTTGTACATTTAATTGTAATATAATTGCGAACAAAGTTGGGTGAGGTTTATATAATTATTGACTTAATTTCATTTTTCATAAAAATATCTTAATTAAAGATTTACTTATTTATATATAATTTTTATTAGATTTGACTGAAGTTTATATTTAGAAAATTTTGTAATTGTTTACAAATTATAATAAAATAAATTATAAAAAGTATATGTACCAGTAATAAATTTATTGATCATTTTTATGACTATTATTTAATTATTACGGGTAATGTATGATTTGAAATTATTAAAGATATTTATATTTTAATGAGTTAAATAACATGTGATTAATGATATAAATAATAGATTTTTGATTATATTTTTATTAATTCTGGTTTTGATGTTTTGTAATTGTTTTCAATTAATCAAAAATGTTTATACAATACGCTATACAATGTTATACAATATTGTCGATTATATACTCAATTATGGGCTCTTCTTGAAAGTCCGTTTCTATGGAATCGATATTAAAGTTTTCAAAACATATAAAAATGAAATAAATTGATTTTCTTTGAATTGAATTGAAGTGTATCTTTAAAAATGTCATTTTATACAATATATTTGAAATCAATTAAAATTTCATATAAATCAAAATTATTGTCTGAATCGACACTATTTTATAGTTTATGTTTAATTTCAAACTTATTTATTCCTTTATTTATTGTCTACAGAAGCGATGGTTTTTGGAGGAAAATCGAGTTTTTTAGTGAACAGCCGGACATTAATTTCAAGCATAACCTCATACTTGTATTACAATTAAACCATTCATTGCCCGGATTTAAGTTCTGGAGTACTTATCCTCAGCTAAACTCTGTCCTCCGATCCAATCAATTATCGCTTCCATATATTACTGTAAAAATCAATACAATGTTTGCTTTTTCTGATTAAAACAAATAACTGTTTTCACTGCAGAACAGAGAGATCGATGTGAATGGAGACGGAAAGTATGATGAGTTGAATATCGATTTAAATGTTGCCATTAATCCAAATGAAGAAGTGATTGGCACTCAATTGATACTCTTTTTTGATTATAAGATTAATGTGAGTCTCAATAAACTTAAAATCATTGCATTGATTAACATTCAAATGATTTCCAAAAAAATAGTCAAAAATATATCTTCAAATGGAAAGCATAGCAAACATTGAATATTATTCATTAAAGAATGGAAGACGTCTTCGAGTTATCGGTGATCTTGTGTTTCATCAAAAAGTACCACTAGTTTATCGCAAACATTATATCCCAAACAACGACTTAACAAATCATTTCCAAGACTTCTTTATTGAAGATTTTCTTGAAGCATATGTTCGCCGAAATTGTTAGTCTTTTGATTACAGATTATATTTTTTATTAGATATAAAATTTTAATTTGTTTTAATTGTTTACATAAAATAAATTAGTCTCGACTTCGCTTAATTCAAACACTCATTACAAATGGTTTGCCAAACATGAAAACATAAGTGACTTCGATATAAATGTTAAGATTGTCTATAACAACGACCAAATGTTTTACTACAGAACCGGCTTTTGGTTTCTTATAAAATGGGCTTTTATTCAATATTTTGCAATTTATTTAGTTTTAAGATTTTTAATTAAAAAAATAATTTCATTTGTTTTTGATAACAGACTATTAAATTGTATTGAATGTCATCCAATTATCAGTGAAAACAAATAAATGCTATAATTATTGCAAACTTTATATTTTTATTAATATTATAAAGTATCATGGTCAATTTGTCAATTGTAATCAGATTTTACTATACGCTCATAAATTTTCTATTCATTCATTCATAAATTAATTCTTAAAGAATTTTAAATAATATTAAATATAAATATTATAACAAATTTTTACCCATTTTTTAATTTGTAAATTTAATAAATAAATAATTTTAAAAATATATAATATTTTGAAATATTTCAAGAATTTCAATTTTTAATTTGTAAATATTGATAAACATGTGTTTGGTTTTATCTAAAATAAAAATCATACAAAATATTGTTATTCCTGAAGAAACTCTTCGAGAGCGTCGTTATCAGACTTTTCGGTTTCAATGTCAATGTCTTCAATACAAACATTATTGATATCACTATTATTAGTAACTTTTGGCTCAATCTTTCCCTGAGTTTTGTAGAGATGAAGCTCTTCTTCAAATGCTTTTTGAAATGCTTGTTGTCTTTCCTTAAGAACTGATTGTTGTTGTCTTTCAAATTCATGAACCCGTTGTGTGTATTGGACCGCAAACTTAACTCTAATCGCATCTAAATTTGCAATATTCTGGTCCTTATAAGCCTCTAATTTAAATTTGTGATCAATTTTAATTTTATCAATTTCTTCAATCTCTTTCATGTCTTGCAATTTTGTTAATAATTGTTCCACTTTTATAAAATCATTTTTTGTTTTAATTAAATCCTTTTCAATAGCTTCCATGGATTCAATTAATTGTGGCAAAGAAGTCAATTGAGAAATAAACTCATTTATAACATTTTTCTCTCTTTTAGTTTGTGAGTCAACCAAATCAATGGCTTTGTATACCTCATCAGCCAATTTGGCATTTCTTTCGTTAATTTCATGCACTTCTTGCCATTGAGTCTGATATCTATGGAGAAGATCTGCGCCGGCATTCAAATTGACTTTGAATTTGTGAGCATTTCTATGAAAACCCAATTTAGTTCTGACCTCTTGCTTAGCCTCGGGACTGATAGGTGTGGCCAGACTTTTGATGCTATAATTGTAGTCAAATTATATGACACTAAAACTCAGAAAAATGTCAAATCAATCCATTTATCAATACCTCGAAGACAAGTCGTTTTGAACGGTTTGTAGTTTGTCTTTCAATTGTTCCAACATTTTATTACTTTACCCTAAAATTAGTAAATTTCAAAATTAACTTAAGTTATCTTAAAACTCAAATTTATATATAGAAAATATATAATTTTATTTTTATAAATATATATATAGTCAAAATTATATAATAAAATAGTTAGTTTACTTATATTTTGTTATAAAATATATTAATAGGATTATATATGAAATAATGACACTTATAAATAATGTAAATAACAATTTTAAACATCTTTTACATAAACATTATAAAAATATAATAATAATATAATTAATGTCATGGATAGCAATAAACAATATGTAAGTACTTTACTTGTAAATAGACTCAAAGTTTTATAGTGTAAATAAATTAGCAATATTTATATTATTAGAGATTTATCAAAATAATTATCTATTATAAAATAGTTTATTATATAATAATAAAATTGTTATAAAAATTATTAATAATAGCTGCTATTAGACCTTAATTATATATATATATATATATTGGTAAAGTAATAGTTTTCAATATTGTATGTAAAGACTTCATTTAATTTGTTTCAGTAAAAACTTAAAAAGTTATACTTAATAATCAATTAAATGTGTATCAAATATAAGTAATTTACTTTATATAAACCAAAAACCATATATTGTAAAGTAAAGTAAAATATAATAAATGATATAATTTATGATTTAGTGATGTGTAGTGATGTAAAAATTTAGAAAATGATAGCAAAAATTAATGAAATAATTTAATCAAACGATCAAATGCTTTGACGACAATTTAATATCAGATCAAACATCAGATTCCGTTGCATTTCTAAGAGGATTATCACCGATCAGATGACTTTGATGGACATTAGCCTCAACTCTCATATGAGACCTATTATGATGATCGTCACCATTGGGGTCGTCATAGATGTGGTTAACGGCACCTAAATTGCCGTTGGATGTCGTCCTGCGGACAGTCAAATATGTTAGTGGTATGAGTTTGCCATCACTTTTATTGTCCACTTCATAGTGAATCTGAGTTCTTGAATCGTCTTCATTAGGCTCGACAAACACATAAGTGTCTGACTTTCGATGTCGGGTCCAAAACCTCTCCAATAACTTAATGATGGCTAATATGATGGCTATTATGACCACTGAGAAGAACACCACTGGAATTATCAATGGAGCCGATGGCGAACCCGTGTAATTGACAACATCTGATGGATACGATGAACCATCACTTGAAGACAATGTACTCACACTTACATCCATCACAACAATGACAACAACACATAAATATCAACAACTGATTCAACAATACTTCAAGTGATATATCACTACTTCGACATACAAATGGATGCAATGGTTTGTCATTTAAATGATTGGTAAACTGATAACTAATAGTTAAGTGTCAATCAAATACTCACTCTTATAATATGCAAGAAGTGGTTAAATGTAATGTTGTTTTGATGTCATCAATGGATCAGTTTATCTGTCATTAAGACTAAACAAACAGTTTGTGTGAAATAGTGAACAAACTTTTGTCTAAACAATTGAATGCATTTATTGTGTGAATCAATGAATCACTGAATTCATGCAAACCTGTAATCACTTGAAAACACTATTATTTAATAATACAGAGTTTGGGCACTCAATCAATCATTTGTCGAAACATGTATAACGTGTCAAACATTAACAGTCAATAACGTGTTAATCAATTGATTACAAATGTAATCACTGTTTGAATAAATGAATCAATTGTTTGATTGATTGTTAATAACAATAACAACAACAACGACAACAAACACTTACATTGATATAAAAAAATGTCAACAATTGTCACGTGTTTTGCTATTTCTATAACAATAGCATTTTGATTGTTGTTATCAGCAATTGATTTGATTATCACTTTATTATTAAAAACTTTGATTCAAACAACACTTCAATTGAATGGTATTTCAAGTGATTTGTCGTCAGTTTTCTAACCAATCTTTCGTCAGAGTTGTCGTCAACGCAACACTTGTGACAACACTTAGCAAACAATACACAAAAATCAGACCATTTTCTTACACCAAAAGACAATCGATGACAATGTCTTTATCTGCCGATGAAGTGTCTCGATATAGTCGACAAATGCTATTACCCGAAGTGGGCAAAAGTGGTCAGTTGGCACTCAAATCTACTTCGGTTCTTATAGTCGGTTGCGGTGGACTCGGATGTCCCGCCAGTCTGTATCTGACGGCTGCAGGAATCGGCAAAATTGGTTTAGTGGACAACGATTTGGTCGAGAAAAGCAATCTTCACCGACAAGTACTTCATAACGAACAGAGAATCACAAAACCGAAGACAGACTCGGCTTTCGAGACTTTGAAAGCATTAAACTCTAACGTTGTCTTCGAGACAATCAATTGTCGTCTCATTCGAGACAATGCCTCAGAAATTGTCTCAAAATATGACATTATTATTGACGGAACCGATAATCCAATGACTCGATACCTGTTAAGCGATGTCTGTGTTATTAATAAAAAGCCTCTCGTGTCCGGATCTGCGCTTAGATTTGATGGACAGTTAACTGTTTATAACTTCGACTCTAATACTCCGTGTTATAGATGTCTTTTCCCGAGTCCACCTCCTGTCGGAACTGTAACTAATTGTAGTGATGGAGGAGTATTGGGTGTAATTCCGGGAACTATTGGTAATCTTCAGGCCTTAGAAACCATTAAAATAGCTTTGGGACGAAAGCCAACATACGCGGGAAAGATGCTGCTCTTTGATGGACTCAACGGCGAGTTTCGGACCATTACATTACGTGGCAAACGATCAGATTGTATCAGTTGTGGACCAAATGCCACCATTGGTCCCGAACTCGTTGACTACGAAACCTTTTGTGGCATTCAATGTAATGCCAGTCAGTATCTGAAAATTCTTGAATCAGAAGAACGAATGACTGCAAAGGAATATTTCGACAATTATTTTAATACTAATGAAAAGCATTTATTGATTGATGTCAGAGACAAACTACAGGCAGATATCACAAAATTAGATAACGCTGTAAACATCCCTTTAAAAGATATACAAAATGGTAATGGATTTCAACAAATAGAGGATCTCATTGATCAACAAATGGATAAAACAAATGTAAAACTAATAATAATGTGTAGGAGAGGTAATGCCTCTCAAAAGGCGGTCAGACTATTAAAAACTAAAATAAATGACATATTAATTAAAGATATCATTGGAGGGCTCGAGGCCTGGGCTAAGGAAGTTGACCCCAAGTTTCCAATGTATTGAATAAAAAAATAAAAATTTGAAAATAAATAAATATTTTTATGACTAATGACTTGACATTTCATTTTTCAATCGACTTTCTAAGTGATTGACTCTCTCTTCCAAAATCCGTAATTTTTCGCTAAGAAATTCAAACGATGGCACATAAGAGGGCACAAAGTTATTGGCTTTTGGATTCAGTTCGTGCTGTTTGTTCGGTCGCCAAAAGCCATTCGAGAATGCATTCGTTTCATACACATTGAAGATTTGATTGCAATCATCGGATGACGACGAAACAACTGAATTGTTTGAACTTTGAAGAGACCAACTCATGGTATGTGATGGCATTGCTTCCATCTTTGACTGTGATGTTGAACGACCTCTCAATTGATAGCCAATACTTGTCGACAATAGATTTTTGATCAATTTATTGCTTCCGTGTCCATTATTGATGGCGTAATTCAGTGCCGTATATCCTGTTATATCAGTTAAGGTTTTGTCAGCCTTTCCAGTATTGATGAGGATATCAATACATCTTGTATGACCATTGCTGGCGGCCATCATCAGTGCAGTTCTACACTCATTGTCTTGAAAGTTGACTTCAGCGCTAAATCTCAACAGAAGTCGGACAATATTAAAGTGACCAAAATTGGAAGCATATACTAATGGAGTCCATCCGGAGTCGTTCACTACATTCACATCTCTTGAAGAAACAATCAAATTGTAAGCAATCATAGAATAATTGCTTTCATTTTTACTTTCGATACTTACTCTAAATGGTTACATAAAATCTCTTCGACGACATTGTATTGACCCAAACTCGAAGCAGATATTAAATCGTTTGTTTCATTAATTGTGTCCATTTCAGTGAATAATGAAATATAAATAAAATGCAATGAAAATATATATTAAAATAGAAAATTATTAAATAAGTCGTTTGGAAAAAAATAAAACTTTATTTCGACTTTAAATCTTTAAAAACGCAAAGTGTGTGGACTCGTCAAACACTGTCTTAAATTTGATGTATTTTAACTATTTTTCAACTTCTTTTATATCAATTTTTTGCTTAAATTTTTTGGAAATTTAGTCTCATTTGACATCTCATTGGCGATAATATTACAACTATAGCAAAGTTGAGGCAAAATATTACTAGTATTGAGACTCAAACTATTCATATCATTAGGATTTTGTATGGAATTGTTTGATAAATAGTTAGTTAAACGAAGGGTCTCATAGGCTGAACATTTTGGACGGTTTATTGTGTCGATTATACTCTGCATTCAAATCAAGTTTATAATAAAATTATTAAGTTTTCAAAATTGAAACATTATTTAACTTACACTACAAACTGAACATTTGAGTTGAGAGTCGGTGTCATCGGAGTCGACCTTCAATTTGTCACCCGTTTTCATAATAGTGTAGAGAGTGGCCGGAAATTCCGATTGCAAACCATTCACAAACGATTCACTCATTCGCTGTAAACTTGATTTCAGTGATGTGTTTGTTGTTAATGTCTTAGTGATGACAAACTTTAAGTTTTTCATAATAGCATAAAAAGTAATTTCTTTTGCTGTCAACTCTCTCATTGGTCTAAGTATTGGAACTTCTTGTCGTTCATCAACAAACACCTTATAAGAAGTAAATTAATAATAAACAAAACAATATTAATATTATTTAAATGATTAGATACCGCTTCGGATTGCAATTGAATGCCTTTACCGATGGCCACATCGCTTAACAAATTGATGCCCAAATGTGTGGCATTATTGGCCATAAATATTTTGTCAAACTTTTCATTTGCCGCGATGTCAACTATTAAACGTGTCCTAAATTAAACAGTTGTTATCATCCAATATCTAATTCATTGTAATGATATCAACTATACCTCATCTGTTTGATAAACTCTTGTTTCGAGGTTAAAGATGTAATACTTGAAAAGCAATCACTAAATGTTTTCTGACATTCAACTGATGTCTTGTTTATTTGATTATTAATTTTGGTATAAAAAATATCATTATTTTGTCGGTAAGACATCTCAATGGATGACACATAACAATCCCAATTGGTTTCTATCATAATATTAGTTATCTCTTTAAATATCAACTCTTGTTCTTCAATTGATTCGTTTTGTCGCAAAATCCTATCTATTATTACAAATATAATATTTTAGATTTAATTTTTGATAATAATTATTGTTATATACTGTATATACCATCGATATAAACAAGTGACGGAACAAATCTAAGTCTTCTGTGTTGGTCTTCATTGAGTCCATCTTTGATCAAATCAATCATTGCCGATGAGTTGACGCCACCGGAGAATGCAATGATAATCCGTTGTTCTCTTTGAATAGCTTTTGATTTACCGATTGTTGACCTGAATTTATGGGCGCAATAGTTGGCCAAACATTGACGACAAAAGACATCTTTTCGTTGCAATAAAACAAAGCCGTCGTTGATCTGACACTTCTTGCATTTGACAACACCATCGCTGAGAAACATATGTTGATAATTATAATGTCATTAATTATATTAAAAATACAAACCGTTTGAGTGTCTCCAAGAATTTCTTGTAAATGGTATCACTTGATGAATATGTATTGATATTATCACACATTTTTGATTAAATTGATATTAATATAACAAATGTGTTCATCACGTGATTCAATGTGTGTTTACATCAATAACAATGAAATGTATAAAAATATATAAACATAAATGCATTTAAATTTTATTATAAATCAAATAAAAGTGTTTAAATACTGTATATTTATAAATATTGCTTTTAATAAATTTATGTAAAAAAGTGTTTATTAACATATTTTTTAAAATGAAAAAGTGATAAAAGTATAATAAAAGTGAAATTATTATATAAAAGCATTAATTGATAATATATTAATCCAATTGAATTAAAAGTCTATCAAACTCTTCGTGAGTGTAGGGCTTAACGGCATCGGAACTCCACTGACGGATACCATTGAGGGCTCGACTTATATATGCCGCCCATTCAATGGTGTTATCTTTATTTTGACCACTCATTAGATACCTGTAAGTTATAAAAGTTTAGTTATAAAATTAATGTTGATATAACTTAAGTGCGAAATAACTCACTTAATGGGTCGACTTCGAGGAATAGATCCGCCTTTAGTAAAGATGGTGTTGGGTGTGTTGGAAGCAGTAATTAATGCAATAGTGTTGGGTCTCATCAAAATTTGTCCCTTAATTATTTGCACGATTGGATTAATACAATCCTTTAAGTTTATATTTCCGAGCGCAGGCTTATTGGTCACATCCTCGGGAAACCTCCAAAATGCTAAGTGAGAACCTCTAATGACAACCCAACGCAAGTTCCAAAAACCAGAAGTGTCGCGAACGTCAAAGAATCCTTCTCTATAGTAGTTATGTTTGATTGTGAGCTCAGCCCTAACCTGAATGGTTCCCTCAAGAGGTGAATTAAAGTTGAAATTTTCGAGTTTATATGAGTTCTTGTGATAATTGAATAAATTTATGTTTAAAACACCGATTAACTGGAAACTAGTGCTCAGCACAGCATTGGGACCGCCGGGACTGCGAACAGTCGGTGACTTCATTGAGCCCTTGTTTTTCTTAGGAGTTCTCTTTAAAGTTTTGATGTGGTATTTGACTTCATGTGGTAATTGATGTTTAGATGTAATTAAGTCATAAATATGAACAACAACACCAAAATCATTGTTAAGGTCAGACAGACTGACTCCAAACTCAAACTCGAAGACACCATTTTTGATGCCTTTGTCAGTACTCAACAAGTTTGACACAAACACATGCGGACCGTTATATACGAGACACACCAAGTGATGGATGTCTGCAACTATTTTATTTTTAAAATATTAAGTTTATTCAATATAAACAATTATCATTCATTACATACCTATCCCTTTAGCACGTGACACAAGATATTCTCCTTTTACGGGTAATCTGATATTACTAAGATTGAGTGATCCGGTGGTCATATCGGTATCAAACGATGTATCAGTCAATTTAATCTTCAATTTTTGTATTTCATTCAAGAGAGCAATACGTTTCTGACCTAAAATTATTAAAATTTTAAATAAAGTCTAAATTATGAAAACAATCAAACCTGAAACAAGAAGTACTTTTTCTGCTTCGACCTGTTCTATGGATCCCTTGAACTCTGTGTTTTCGAGACACAGATTCAGTGCTTGACTGGCCTGACCTGCAATCCTATTCTGTTCTTCGACTTCTCGTTTCAATTCTTCGATTTTCTTTTGAATCCTTTTCTTTCTTTCGTAAACATCTAAATTGTTTTGTGGCTCATAAACTACATCCTTAAAAACAATTGTCTGAATAGTAGGTGTGGTATTGGTTTTACACTTAAGAGACTGTTCTCTTCTATAGAAACTAATTGTTCTCAAAGGAGTGGCATCTTTATCTGGTATATCTTCATGAGTACGCGGAGGTTTTGTCGGAGGAGGAGATCCATAGTTTGTCTCACTTGCATTGTATTGTCCACATACTTCCTGAGAGTTGATATCAAGTTGAGGATAGAGTCGATTCCTTTTAGTGGGACTCTCGTAATCAATGTCTAAATTCTTATCATTTATATACTTGTATTCACTTGTCTCTGAGTGTGTGTCATAATTAATGTCTTCATCTGAATGTTCATCAATATCTTGAAAGGCTTCACAAACAGTTTGATGAGCCGTTTCATTATCAACAGAATCAGTCGACAAATTATTTTGTTTTGTCTCTTCTATTGGTAGATCCAAATCCATTTGAACGCTTTGAATCGCATTCTGTGTACTCACTTGAGGCACAACTTGTTCAACCACTGGCTCTGATTTTTCAACTATTGATGAACAGGGATGTGATGACTGATTCTTAGTTGGCGTATCTTTTGATTGCCATAGACTTGGACTCATCGGTCGCTTCAAAGATGTTAATTCTTTTTGACGATTTTCCAGTTCTTTTTTGTAGGCAATTGCTGTCGAAGTTTCAGAACAGAACAGTCGTTCCTCAAGAAATTTTTTACGAAGTGCTATATTAGTCGAGACAGGAATTTCAACATTTTTATCATAATTATTATTATTACTAATCATTTTGTCATTAACTTTAAAAATATTATTTTTTATATTACTCTTAACGACAATGTTTTTGGGCTCATCTTTCTTAACCTCTGATTTCTTTATGAAATCATTATTTTGCAAAACATTGATTATGTTATCAGTTTTGGTGACAATGTTTTTGACACTTTGTGTAAGATTAGTCTGACTGACATTTTCGTTGCTCTCAATAGTTGTTGTCTTAATGTTGAAGACATTGCTTTTACTCAAAGACTTAGTTAAACTGGTTTTACTCAAATTCTTTGACAAAGGATTTTGTTTGATATTATTACTATTTGAAGTCACGACTGATGGAGAATCATAAGTCTGTTCCGAGTTATATGACTTTGCAATGGTATTCAATCTTTGACTTAATGGTACTCTTTGTTGATTTGAAGAAACGTTTGATAAATTCTGGAATAATCTGTCAGATTGTGTGCTCTCTTTGGACTCAATCGGACATAAAGTACTTTTACTATTACTTTTTGACAGAGAGATAGAAGACTTACTATCACTGCTCTTGATTTGGATGTCGTCGTCTTGTTTCTCATACGAAGATTCATTAGTAAACTCATCTGAATTTTGATAGGTCTTAGCGATTGAGTTCAATCTTTTACTCAATGGTACTCTTTGTCGATTCGGTGATAATTTTGTCAAATTCTCATATAATCTTTTAGGTGAACCACAGATAGCATTGTCTTCATATTTATTATCTTTTTGGACAACATTTGTGTTGCTTTTGATATCATTCTTAACAACACTTTTGGTGTCAATAATCGGTTCATTTGTCTCATGAGTTGATAACTCGAAAACTTCATTTTCAATGTCTTCATCGATGTAATTGATTGAATCATCAAGAAATCTATCCCTTTCACGATTTTTTCGGATCAAATTCTGGTGATAATTAAAATTATAAAATATTATTAATTATAACAAATGTGAGTCAATTGAAACAAATTGTGACAAATGATGTCAAACCTCTGTAAATGAGTCGAACTCTTCGTAATCACTCATCGTTTGTGTTAATCACTAATTATGTGATCAATTGATGGATCAAATGAAGTGATGTTTAGTTTAAAAATCAATAAACAAATTGTTTTCAAAATTTTTCAAAAATATCAATGAATTTATGAATCAATGAATAGTCCATTCATTTCAATGTAATCTAAATCTCAACAGTTTTTCAACTGTTTATTGCAAAACGCTTTTGAATTGTTTAGAAGTAAGACTCTGATTGGTTAATAAGTTTGAATAACCATTAACTCAACCAATAGGAGTGCGAGTGTCGGCAAAACTGTTAACATTTTATTTAAAAGTCTACAAACATTTGATTCATTGAATACAAACTGTTTTTTGACAAACTTTTCAAACAATTTATTATTATTATTATTATTATTATTATTATTATTATTATTATTATTATTATTATTATTATTATTATTATTATTATTATTATTATAATAATAATAATAATAATAATAATAAAAATGGCATTGAATTGCAATTGTTTTTTTGTAACAATACATATAATTTGGTTAAATGTATGATTTTATAAAAATTACATTAACATACCAAGGTTATGATTGACATAAGTGTACATGGCAAGTTAACAAATAATTTTAATATGTATTTTAATACTATACATATGATAAATATAAATTAAATTGTCGATTATTTTTATATTAGTGGTAAATGACATAAAATGATATAATTTGTTAATGTTTTCCACAATTTAACTAAAAGGCCATAAATTATTAATATTATTAATTACTTATTTACATACAATTACTTATCATATATATACTGATTTACATTAATTATTGATAATTTTTTGTTACTAATAATTTTATGCTAACTATTGGTGTCAAATAAATCTCTTATTTAAAATAATTTGTATTTTGATATAAATAGTAAATTATGAGTTGAGAGTTGGAAAATACAAGGTTTTCAATTTGTAATACAGTATATCATATAAGTTTGTATAATACAATATACTGTTTGTACTGTATTATACATTTTTTAAAACTAATATATACTAAGATAAAAAATAATTAATAAATCCATATTTATTATAAAATATGGCTTACTTTGCTTATATCAATGCTTTTAACACTAGGTTGCGCTAAATTTTGTTTGTATGCAAAATTGGCCATGTATTATACATAGTATTATATATAGTATTATACTGTACTTTACTGTTTAATAAGCTTTGTATTATACAAACATTTAGTCTCTGCCAACATTGAAAACTCAGTGATGAGTTTACAATAATTTATCAATTATTGTTAATACAGATTAGTTGATATCTAATCTTATGATATGATATATAAAATGATTGTAAAAATTTTGATAAAATGTCTTTGGATTATAAGTTATAACTTTAAAATTTTGTTTAATTTAAATAGATTTAATTAATCATTGATTGGCGCCAATTATGCTTATATCTCGGGGTTTATATCTATGTCTAACGTCGGGTGCATTGGCCTCCAGTGCTTCACTATTTGGCAAACTAGCGATGTCTCCGACCATTTGCTGTTCATTATTAAAATATTTGTATCAATTCAATGATGATTTCACTAATTGTTGCCACAATTCATATGTATAACTAATAATAGCAAATCTATATTAAATGCATTATTTAGCTAATTATATGAACAAATTTCTTATCAAATAATTAGATATTACTCTTATTTCAAGCAATAATGTTTGCATCAATGGTAATATCAAATGTCTTAATGTGGATCCAATTTAGTAAAGCTCTCAATCAATACACTAATTCATTGAATGTCATTGTTTTGAATACTTCGGCAAACTTTTTTTTTACTGTAAATATTATATATATAATTTAATATTGAATTTTAATAATATTAATATTAATTTTAAAAGGCTATATACGGAAAGGTATTATTTGGCGAACAATTATCACAGCTTTGGTGGATTGGGTCCACACTTATAATAATCGGTTTATTAATTATGCGAACAACAACTGTTGATAATATACAACATAAGACACACATTAATTAGTTATTTCAGTATAGTATTAAAATTTATTTTTTGAATGTCTTAATTCAATATAATTAAGTTTTGGCAATATTTTACAATAGATAACTTGCCAAATATATAGATTTATAAAGTAATTGTATATCTTTATAAAAAATTGTAATATTAAATTGATAAATATATATAATTTATATAGAATAAAAAAGTTTGATACCATAAATAGTTTGAATTAAAGTATAAAAATGTTATTGCTAATTTAATATAACATATGACAAATGTTCACAAAAAATGGTAAATAATAGTAGTGACAAGTTTTTCAATAAAATTTATATAAAAAGGTTCAGCACTAAAATTTTATGTAATTATTTAAAAAACACATTTCTTAATTATTATTTTATATATAATAAAAATTATAATATACAATTTCTTATAACTTTTATTAATAATTAGTAATTATTTAACACTATAATTATTTATTTATTAAACAAAAATAATTTTATTAAATATCTAAAATTTATTTCAATAAATGAAATATATAATTGTCAAAAAACGTTTTTATAATATAAATTTGACTATTTTTAATCTATTCATACATAAAATTTGAAACATGTATTCAATCAATTATAACTTTTGTGTATTTAATTATTAAAAAAGAATATAAATATTTATAATAGTTTTAATATATTGCAAATTCCTGAACCATATTAATAAAAACTTAATAATATTTAAATACATCGCTAATATTTAATCACTTTAATAGTTGCATAATTTTATTTGTTTAACTCAATTCAGTCAAATATATTTACTTTAAAAAATAAATCTCACCATTTTTGAGAGCTATTTATGTTATTGCCTTTTTAAAAGTATAGTTAAAAACTAATATTCAATTATTATATAAAATTTAGAAATATTAAGCGACAATTCAATAATATTTTATATAAAGCAATCTTTTAATGAAATAAAACATCTAAATATTTTAAACATTTTAGACAATTGACTTTGAATTAACTGGAAATATATTTTTAGTCTTTTAAAATGGCTTTTAAATTATTAAAAAATTGTTTCTATAAATATATTTTATAATAAAAATTTTATATATATTTCTTGATTATTTGCTCTTGAATTCTTAAAAATTCTAAAAAATATTTTACATTTATTACACTTAAATATATATTTAATGTGTTTTTATACTATAAACTAAAATCAATATTTAAAGATAAATTACTAATTTTACATTTATAATTATACAACTAATTAAAATTAATTAGTATTAAAAATACAAAATTTACGAATAATATATACTCACTTTTTATTTGTTTAAACTTTTAATTATTTACAACTTATATTTTTATTAAAATTTTATTTAATCATTATTTATTTGTTGTTTTTATTATTTTAAAATTTAGTTTGTTATAGTTTTATATCTATATTTAACCTAATATACAGTATTAATTTTTAAAAATTAATTATTTGAAAGTTAATGAATATAAATAATAATAAAAATGCTAAATTTAAAAGCATTTTTAAAAATGTAATAAATCATTTGAAATTGGTATTTTGCAACTCATTAAGTTATTAACTTATTTAATAAATTGCAAATTAATGTATAATTAACTATCAATTTAGGTTCGCCCATATATTTACTTACTTAATATTATACATTAATTGTTTGTAATACAGTAAATATATTTTGAAAACTAAATACAAGACATTTTGCACGTAGACATGTGATTGAAGTAATTTATTGATTGCAATCGTTTAATCTATGAACTCGTTTTGATGTTTGTGAACGTGTTTTTAGTAATCAATTGTTATCTCAATCAAGTTATCGTCAAAATATTTCTATCATTTCTCATAATTTCAAACATCAATTCAAATCTAACAAATGTATAAACTTGTTAATAGTGCAGTTGTAATGTCACTTTGATTCAAATACTTGTATGTTTTAAATTAATGTATATTTTAATAATATTTATTTATAAATTTAACACATGTATGTTGTGTCATTTTTGGAAATTTCCTTTAACTAAATAATTTTGAAATTAATAATAATAATAATAATTTAATCGATGTATTCAATCTAATCAATCTACTGTAATGACTGCATCATAAACTTTTCCACTTAGCATTTCCCACCAACTAATAATACTGTATATTATAGTATATTAAGGACTTAGCATTAAAATAATTTATTTATATTGTGTTATAACTTATAAGTTAATAATTACTAATGTTATTGTTATAATAAGTATTTAGAAATTAACAACATTTTGAAAATACAGTATAATACAGTAGATTATATATAGTATAAAATTCATTTAATTCATATACTAGTATATGATGAATATAATATAATTTAAAAGTTAAAAATTATTTTGACAACAATCATTATTTGTCTAAATTTATACAAAATTTTACTTTTATATACAGTATAAGGAATTTTACACTATAAACACAATTGCTATCAATAAATAAATTTAATAATTTCTAAAAAGTATAATTTTAACTTTTTTAGCGTTTTGACTTTCTAAAAAATTTATATAAAAGTTTTTAGTAAATGTATTGATATATATTATCATAGAATGTTCAACAGTATTGAAAATATTTACTATGAATATTTTTTATTTATAAAATTAAATTAGTTCATGGTCTTATATTATCACAGTTTTATACTAATTTATAATTAATTATTATTATAACATAAAATATAACTATAACTTAACATTTATGTATTCTATGTTAGTGTATGTTAGTTATTTATTTTATAAAATATATAATTATAATTTAATATAAGAAAATTACAAAGTTATTTACTTAAATTTAAGTGTGGCAATATTTTAAGTAAATTTTTTTATTTTTACATATTTTAGTAAAACTACTATTATTTACAGTATAATGTTTGTATTGTTATTTACTAAATAATTTAATAAAAATTCTATTATTTATTCGTAAAATTTTTAAAAATTTAATACAAAACTTTATTACTTAATTCTGTGATTAAAATAATTGCAGTCAACCAATAAAGTGCACGAAATAAATATAAATTATTAAATGAATTCTTAGATATTCAAAAATAAAATTTTATTTAAATAATTTTTTCTTATTTATTAAATAAATGTAATGCTTAATAATCAGAGCGAAACCTAACAAATTAGATTTATATTTTATTAAAATTTAAAAAAAAATATATACAAATTTTAGACATATTTTATTCAGTATAAATACTTTAATGTTTTTTTTTAATAAATATAGAC